AGGTACTCTGTAAGTAGGTAAAGATGAAATAATCACTCCGGAGGTTTTATTGGTTTACCCCTGTCATTTGATGGCTTATAATTAGCCTGGAATAGGATGATTGATGATAAGCTGTATTGAAGAGACTGCAGCTGATGCACTTGTTTCTTTTGCTTGTTTTCTTTTGTTTTCTACATTTGAAAGCATCAGCACTAGTAGCTGGCTTGCTGAGGTGATACGGTATTTAATGGTGATTATCAGGGGGATTGTGACTTACCTGTAGGTACAGTATGGTGTTTGGTGATGTTTTTCACCTGGCACATTTGCTATAGGATAGCTAAATATTGCAAAATCTCAAATAAGTTGGTGAGAATGCTGATTAGCTTTTCTGTTGCCCTGTGGAGAGGATGCATCTGTTCTTGTGGCTTGTGTCTGGAACATGGCTGGCAGACATTTGCTAATGCCACGGGTGTTTGGTAAGTACATCATTTAATTCCAAAGTGTGAAATATTAGGAGAAGAAACTGTGAAGTTCCACCCAGGTGTCTGTATTGTCTCTCATTCTCCTGCCCATTGTTCAGCTGGCTGGCTTGTTGGTGAGCAGTCAAAAGAGAAGTTGCTGCCTTAAGGAAACAGCAGAGCTCAAATGTTCAACGGTACTCTGCTGCTGCCTCAATCCTATTCAAGTGTAAGATAAGGATCGGTCTGGTTACTGCCTTTCCCTGGGGGAAACAGGGGGTGTAAAAATCATGGGGAAGGAGGGATTTAGCACTGCTCAAAGTCCATCTAACAAGACCGGTATGAGGTGAAAATTGAAGATCTAGTGACAGCAAAGGAAGAAAACTGAAACTACACTGGTGTGAATGCTAGAGGTAACTATTCTCATTTGCTTTAAAGGAGGAGACTGAAAACCTGTCATTTGAGGTTCTAGTAAGGAAATTGTAAAGCAAACCATTACTAAGGTTTTCAGAGGCATGCAGCAGGAGGAAATGGCACTAGGGACTGCTTGTAGTGCAGAACCATTTAAGGCTGGGCACAGGAGCAAGCAAGGCTGCCTCACTCCACTTCCAGATGCTGGAGACTGCTGAAGCACTTTGGGTTTTGCTGGTGGTGCGTGCACTGCTTGGATAAGGCAGCAAATGCAGCTCCAGAGACTGGACTCTGGCATAAGGACTGTTGTGATGTGCTGAGGTTTAGCCAGCGTGCAGAAGGGAATGCTTTTCTCTGCATGCTTTTCCAGATTGCTGGCTATTATGTAGTTGCAGACCGATGAAGTATTTTGACTATCATGAAGAGACACCCTTGCCTTTTGCTGTCATATCTGATCAGCTTGTTTAAAATGCACTTATGCAGTATCATTTCATATCAGACCAAGGACTGATGAGCAGTCTTGTTCTTATGACTTTGCTCTTAGCGTTAAACCCCTGCCATTTGTGGGCTTCAGAAGTTACAACTTGTGCTTTATGCAGCTTCCCCTTAAACAACAGTGACTGCATTTGCAAGAATCGAAGATAAATCTGAAAAATCCAACTGATACCTGGATAATTTTGTCACATCAAAGCAGTAGACAAACATTTCTTCTTTTTTTCTGGCACAGTGCATCTCACTAGAAGCTGTCATTTATCATAGAAAGCTACAAGTGGTGGAATATGCTGAACTACTTCTCCAGTGAGCTACCTTTGGGAGCTGAAAGAAGGAAGATGTGACTTCCTGTCACATCTTTCAGCTCCTTGCTGAAAGGAGCCATTATTCTCTTTTCTGTCTTGGTCATGGCTTGGGTACCTGCTTGTCTACCTGGTGAGTCACCCAAGTGCCAGAGGTAGCCAAACGAAGAAGAAGAAAGCAGGGAGCACAGCCAGGCACAACACTGCCTTTGGGACACTTTACCTCACTACAGCCTGGCCACTCTGCTCTACCTGAGTTCATAGTGACCAAAGCTTTAAGGCAACAGGACCCTCCAAAGGAAAACCTGTAAAACCCCACACTCCCTGCCAGTTCAGGCTATTTTGTGCAGCAGGTTTTTATTATAGATGCCAGCTAATGACAAGAAAACTGAGTCTTAGGAGTAGACTGAACTCTTCTTTTTGGACTGGTTCCTGTTGACGACCGAAGTGCACTTTTTGATGAGGAATATTGCATGCATTTTCAAAACGAGCACTGGAGTAAATGGGCTCCTTTTAGCAGCTCAGCTCCGAGGAGACAAAATTGTCTCTAGGAGCAAGTCACTGCCTGAACTACAGGGAGAAAATCCCCATCAGCTGGGGAGCTGATTCCAGTTTGAAGGTGTCATTGTTCAGTGAGACCAGAGTGTTGGGGCAATAGCCCTGTAATAACCCAAGCTGCGGAAGGGTGGTGGTGTTGAATGGAGAGATGAAGATTGCCCACATCCCCATTTCTGATGGTTTTCTGGTCTTTTTCAAACCTGTTCTCTGAGCTGTTGAGTACAATCGGTGCAGACCTTTTAGACAACAGCCGGTACATAACCCCTGAGCAGTGCTGTCAGAAGAAGAATGGCCGGGCAGAGCTTCTGCTGTAGAATTGCTCAGCACATATTTTTACAGGGAAGATTTATTTTCCCAGATAACTAAAACATTAATCCTGCCTACTAGGTTTGTGTAGCATACGTAGCAGTAATATGTATGTCAGGAATCTTCCTTCTCCTAACCAGCCTTTTAAATGGAGGAACTACTCCATGCTTTAGAAATGCACTCCCTTCCTGCTACCCTGGGCTCCACAAAGCATCCTGAACGACTGAAGGGTCATGGGTGAGCTGGGTTTCTCTACCCAGAGGCATCCAGCATGTTCTCCTCAGGACTCTGGGGGGCTGTTTTACACTGACCCTGATCGTTCAACGGCAAGCACATTAACTTGGGTTTGAGAATCATTTGGTCCTTTTTTTCTACTTCCTTTTCGTTCTGTTACATATCAAATTAAGTGCACATAAAACAAACAGGCTTTATTTTTAATTCTCAGCTGGCCTGTTCCTTGCAAACTTGTTTCAAAGGTGTTGGTCCTGCTCAGCCGGCTCACACGGTGACTTCTGCTTTACTTGGAGCTCTGCCCTGGAGGGGGGCCGGACTCAGCAACGCAGCCCTGTGGCCCAAATGCAACTGCTATAAGCCACAGCTTCAAACTAGGCGCTGCATGATGGATGTGCAGTCCAGCATGCTCTCTGCCATCACCTGAACCTCATCTCCTCTTTTTTCCTCATTTTTAAAGCACCAGCTCTAGCAGGGCCTTGACTGGCAGTTGACTGAGCAGTTCCCCTGGAGCTCGTCTCTGTTTCATGGTGGATGTCTCATGTCTGTCTCCCAGGCTGCACCCCCTCACCTTGTCCTCCCTGGGGAGCCTCCCCTTGGGCCAGGACCTGTGGACACCCCAATTTACCGTATGTCACTGTGCTATGTTCCCAGTAGGTTCTGTCTTTCAAGCCACCTTGTTCCCTGCAGACATTTGCAGCAGAGGAACGAGGGCAGAGCAGTGCTGTTGCATGCTCTTGGCTGCCTGCTGCTGCTCCTCGGGTGCTGAGTGGACTCTGCTCAGACGCAGCCTTCCTCCAGCTACCTGCTGGTCCCTCTGTGATGAGCCTTGGTGTGTGGGTCAGCCACAGCATCCTCTTGGTGTTTCCTCTAAGGCATGCGAGGTAACCTGAGCTCCAGATTCTCACTGGCACAGGGATGGTGACAGCTGCAGCCCTGCTGACCACTAGTGGAAAGGACAAGGAGATCTGAAACCCTATAGCTCTGCTCAGCCCCCAGGGCTGCAAATTCCTCTGTCACAGGGCTCTGCCCAGCTTCCTGGGTCCCAAGTGATCCCTCCCGCCTGAGCAGAGGCTCTGGATGCCAGCAGCATTTTTTTACCCACCTTTGGGCCATTGGGTCATTTATTGTGTCTTGAGGCACTCCAATCCTTCGAGGGAGGTATCAGCTTGAAGCTACGTGGCTCATGCTGGTGTGATGGTTCCCCAGTGCCCTCATGTTTCCCTCCCAGCTTTTGGGTTGGATGTGGGTTTATACGCAGGCTACCCAGGAATAAGGAGGCCTGATGGTGATGGTGATACGTGTCCCTCCCTCTAGCAGGACCATCTTCCTTGCTAACAAGATGACAAGGAGAAGCCTGATGTTGCTGCTGGATGGGGTGTCTCAAGGTGGAGATGGCAGAACTGAGCTGGAGGTGGAGCAGCAGAGCAGTATGAAATGAGTCTGGAGTCATCTCCCTGGTGAGCTCCAGAATTTCGGCAAGGGTTCATCCTAACTCCAGACTTTGGAGATCCCCTTGGGGTGGCAGCAGATCCTGCAGGCTGTTGTAGGGGGATTAACTAGGTTAAACAAACATCGTGGGACAGGGATGGGGTTACATCAGCCACGGCAGACCTTGTGGGTTTTCCTCCCAAGCAGACTCCCTGGGCAGCTGCTGCCTGCAGGCCCTGCCCTTTGCGCTGTCTGATAGTGCCAAGGGCTTATGTCGAACCCGATTCCTGAGCAGAAACGCTTTCCAGATGCTGTGTGCTCTAGCAGGTCAGGGCAGCAACCAGGAAACAGCTGTCTCTGCAAACAGAAACAACAAAAAGAAAATAATATTTGTTTTAGATGCTTGTAGGAACTAAATAAAATCTTTGATGTCAAGAGGGTTTCCTGTTTGTAGAGGAAAACCCTTGGGTCTCAGAATGGGAGCAGGGAGTCCGAGCAAACCCCTCCTGGGTACGGGGGGCCCATGTAACTTTTTGCACTCTTCTTCTGTGATGACAACAATGTTCCAGGGGACAGATTTCACCCCTGAGTTGTACGAGACCCTGCATCTAAGGATGTCTTGGCCACACGCACTGCTTTGGTCCGCTGGTGCCTCTGTCTAGCAGATAGTTGTGCCTTTTGGGGCTGCGGGAGATCAGCACAGGTTTTGCCTTGGGATTCTGGGAAGCCCCTTCCCTTCTTTTGCAGGAAACTTTCAGCTGCTTCTATAAATGCTAAAGAAACTGAGAGCAGCTGGTCAAGAGGAGTCACAGGTTGCCCCGACCTGAGCGTGAGCAGGTGGTGCCGATGCCTCCATGCCAGATGCTGGCAGGATGGCAGGCACTGGGAAGTCCTCTGTCCACCCCAGGTGCAGAGCCACCCTGCAGTGCCCACTCCCTCTGCCGGACACAAGGGCAGGACAGAAATGCCTCTCAAGATAACATGGGCGCCAGGTCCCGTCAGCTGCTGAGCTGCTATGTCCATCTTTAGCCTGCTCTCCAGTTACCAGCCACCTCCTCCGGCTGCCTCCAAAGATAGGCAAAGCCACCTCCTGGTGCCTGGGCTGGAAACTGCGGGGAAGCAGAGGGGGGATCACGGGCAGGGATGAAATTGATAGGATTTTTGTGGAAGGAGTGAAGGAAGCTGCAAGTACGCCTGAGCTATGGCGTCACTGTGCTACAACAAGGGCTGCGGGCAGAGGTTTGATCCTGAGCAGAACACCAAGGGTAAGTGGGCTCGTCTGCCTTGCATCGGGGTGAGCAGAAATGCATACTGCTTTTGTGGTCTGTGGCCTTGGCCGCCATGCCACGGCCTGAGCTGCCCAGCAGGGCTAAGCCGAGCCCAGCACAGGCAGCCCACATGGCAGGATCTGGCTCAGGAGCTGCCGGGCGTCATGGGTGGCTCATGGGCAGGATTGTTCCTCCTGAAAGGTTCTGCCTGATTTTCCCTTTTCAGATTCCTGCCTGTATCACCCAGGCATCCCCATCTTCCATGATGCCCTGAAGGTGAGTCGGGCAGGAGCCAGGGCTGCAGCTGCAGGGAGGGACCTTGTGCCTGGCAGGATTGCCCACACCTGACCAGTTTTTCATCTCCTGGTGCCTAGGGCTGGTCTTGTTGCAAGAAACGCACAACAGACTTCTCTGAGTTCCTCTCCATAAGGGTAAGTGACCCGCCAGCCCAAATGCACCTGCTGCTCCTCTGTCCTCTCCTCCTTGCCCTTGCCCTGCCCTGTCCTGTCCCCATTCCACGCCAAGGCTGCCCCCTTTGCCCTGCCAGCTAGGGATTTCTTATCTGCTTCCAAGGAGCCTGCAAGCAAGGGTGCTGCTCCCAAAGTGTGGGGCATGTGCTTCCAGAGAAGGGTGCTGGAAGGGGCTGGGATCCCCCACCAGGATCCTGTGGGATGAACACAAATGTCCCAAGTGCCAGC